GAAAGAGAACCCAGACTCGTCCTTGTTTGTACAGATTTTTCTCCATAAAGTAGTCAGGGAAAACCTAAAACATTTTTAATAGAAGCAATTATTCTTCCATAAGCTTCACACTGTCTCACCCTCTGTGTTCTGCCTGTTACTCATCTCTAACGATGGTTGTGAAGATGCAGGATCTCTGTTCTCTGAAAATCCATTTTATTTTGCTGCTAGTCTTTTCCTAATTTAGAGTCAAAACCATCTTTTGTATGTGGAGGTGCCCACGACACGTGTTGCGGGGACAAGTGTGCTGCAACAAGGGGGATCTGACTCCACGTTGGGGGGGGGAACAGGCAGAGGAGACAAAATTTCAGAAAACAAAGATCCTGTTTCCATGGAGACATCCCTAGGACTAAGTTATCTTGAGACATCAGAGGCTCTTCATAAATTTGGCCAGATGAAAGCCAAACACAGATAATGTTAACCATAGCCATTTCTATATAAAGATTACTTAAGTGGCACTACTGATCTTGATTTTTATGCAAGTGGCTGAGAGGAGTCCAGCTCTCCTGCACCCTATATTGCCAAAGACTATTTTCCATGACAGGAGATTAGAAGGCAGGCTGAATTTGGCTACAGAAACACATCCCTAGGTACCAACTGGCAGCTTGGGGGGCCAAGTGTCTCACCCAGCAGCCAGGTAGGACCAGCAGAAAAGGAAAGACAGCAGCACTGCATAACCAATAAAAAGGCTTTACAGGCATACAGCAGGCTGAGGGAAGAAGAGAATGCTGTTTTGCTTCTCGAGGAAACCTACATATTCTGCTTGGGCATAAATGAAAATCAAGTCCTATTCCATAGAGCTTATTTCTTTTATACAGATTTATTGGAAGAGCAGCTATAGATGAAGACAGCTTGATTACACCCGCAGATAAAACCAACTGCAAACAAGGTCTTTACTGTCATACCACCAAGGCTGAAATGTTGAATGCTGAGAATCTTACCTCATGCTGGTCTCTTTTATTTGTTTTGGTTGAGAACTTCAGTTAAAGCAGCCTAACAATTTCCTTAAAATTCTTTCATGGAAAATAAAAAAATCGTTTTGCCTGTATTGAACATCCAGCAAGTTTGTTCTGAAAAGCTCTAACACACCCTGATTTTTGGGAAGACCTGGATTTTAGCTAAGGCATGCCCATCCCAGCTTACAACAAAATCACTAAATATAACTCCTGGGAGAGGAGTGGGGATTTTAGCCTGCACATCATCAGGAAAGGCTTCTTAGATTTTAGCAGCTAGGTGTTCACAAAAATTCCACCAATTATACGAGGCAAGCAGGTCTCTCCTGTAAAGGAACCTCTGGCCTCAGATTTAGGCATCAGACCCAAAAGCACTGAAGACATCAGGGGACATTGCTAAGGCTCTGGCAGCCTGAAGGAAGAAGGTGACCATTTCAAAACTGCAAAAATGGGAAGCACTAGCCCAGGAGGCAGCAGAAGTGAAAACGCTGCTGAGAAACCAATCTGGAACTGGAGAAAGTGGAGGCCAGCAGGATGAGGAAACCAGTGCTAGCAGAATGAAGAGCAGGGAGTTGAGAATGAGTGCCAGCAGGTGGCTACCACTGAACCAGGACTGATTCAGCCAGAAGACTGGAAACTAGGAACTAGTGGGGCAAGGCACAGAAATGGGAAACAGAGAAGACCAAGGGCAATATACAAGAACAAAGAAGGACAAGCAGGGTTAAGTGTGACAAGGAGCTATGTCAGGAGAACCTAATGGAAGCAAGAAGCCAAGAGGAAAAACAGCCAGAAGCAAGAGAGGAGAAGAGGGAACCAGAATGAGAGCTAAAAAACTGGAAGAAGTTATGAAAGGAGTAGAGAGAACTGGAGTAAGAAATCTGAGAAGAGGAACTTCAGACCAACTAGATATAGAGCCTGTGGCTGGTATGATGAACCAGAGTGGAGAATGTATCAGACACACACATATCAGACAGAGAAGAGGAAGAAAGAGAAAGGAAAATGTATCAAAAAACCAAAGAGAAGTCCTTGTTCTCACTAACTCATACCCTTGCTGGAGTGAAACCAGAGACTCACTGGTTTCACCAACTCCTCTATTATTTCAAGATGTTAGTGAAACTCAGAAGTCCAAGCATCCCATCTCCACACAGCTCTTGGAATTTATTACTGCTGTAACACTGGAAGGAGGGGAATCAGCCTGGAAGGGTGCACTGTCAGACAGCCACGTGACACAGTGATGTCTCCTAACAAAACTGAATTAAAATTAAGCAAGCATAGCCTTGGAACTTGAACACAAAAAGCTGCTCTAAAAAACCCTCCAAGGTTGCAAAGTCAAGACAAAGGCAAGGAAAAGCCAAATTCAATGTAGCCCACTTCTTCATATTATATGGCAGACATTTGATATTAAGTTTAATATGGACTAAACAGTAGGACCATATACTAGTTTCTATACAGGGCACTGCCTCGTCCATGCATGACACAGAACTGCTCTTGGGAATCAGTCATGAGTGTTCAGAGTATTTGTCATCTGGAGGATCCTACCACATTTGCTGGAGTTTTATAAGGAAGGTACATCTGAAGAAAAAGGACAGAATCTTGATTTTGATACCTGTATTTACAACACAGAAAATGCTGCATACAGTATCTAGTAACATAAGAATTCAAATTAAGCACCCCTATTTTGAACATACACTATAATTTATTTTGATTTTGTTCATTATATTGAAAAGGGCAAATCACGAACCAGAAACAAATTGCTAAACACAGTATGAATGCAAATCTGACTTCCCTCTCTCAAATGTACTGTAAAAAAAAATGTCAGGAATGACACAGATGAACACAGAAAATTTCAGTTCTACTTTCAGAACTGAGGTAGAATCACAGTAAGTAAAATACAGAATCAGCAAGGACAACATCAGCTCATGAATCTGCTCTTTCATCCTACAAGCTGAAGGGGGCCTTATGGAAAAAGATTTCAGTCTTTAATCAGATGATTCCTATCTTAAGAGACCAAAATTAAACTTAAGTGGACACCCTTATTTCTGGCATTTGCTCGTGTGTGTGATTCTTTACAACATGAGTAAAAATTTTTCAACATTCACATTTTCATGTGAAAGCAAGGATTCTCCATCTATACTACAGTCCTAAAAACATTCCACAGCAATATTAGTTTCATTAAAAACATTTTTATTAGGATAAGATGCATTGCTCCAATAGGGTGGGATTGCCAAAATAAAGTTCATCTCCATGAAAAACTTCTATCATTGCACATAAAACAACTCACAACCCAGGACTCGTAGCTGGAGATCATGCCATCCAAACCATTAGGTTGCCTAACAATGAAAATGGGACCTACTCAAGAGACCAGCTTAAATGCTTCTAAGGAGGGAGAAGGAAGGTTGTGCTGGAAGTGATACTGATGGCACAAACATTCTGCACTTGAAATCACTCCTATGACTATCCACAGTGGTGTAACCCTGAAGGAGGAAATACCTTTCTGCTTACTTGCAGGCTTTTAACAAAGGTGTTTGTTGGGTTTTTCTTCAAAAAAAGAATGGTCAGTTCTCATAGTGCAGCAAAATTTCAGTCACTGTAGCTGCATTCCCCAAACCCAGAGTTTTTCTTCATTTTCAGGCTGATTCTTTTTCATGACAAGTTCCATCTTGTCCCCACACATTACTGTACACTGTCCATCTGATGCCATTTCTTACCATTTATACTCAAAGTAGGTGAAAAACAGAGGGATTGAATTTGTAAAGCACATTGGAATGATTTAGTACCACGTGTAGACAAACATGAACTGCAGTTAGCATGTCATCTGCTCTTACCTGCATCGATGGCACATGGGTAATGGTATCGGAAGGAGCAGCCTTTGTTGTAGCAGCCTAAGGTGGCTCCTGGTTCCTGGCAATGGGAACATTTCTGAAAGGGAAACCAAGACATGGCAATGAAGACTGCAATCATCTTTCCAAATAGCTGTACTCTGCTGGGAAATTTATGAACGACATTCCAGCACAAATTTCTCCATGTTAGTCTGGATCTTTCCACACCACAAAGGCCTTTTGCAGAGGTGACAACACAAGCTCTTTGGAACAACAAACTTTCCAGCTGTGCTAACCTGGCAGAGGCACCAGTGTTCAAACCAACCATACAGGAAGAACTTGGAACACTTCTCAAATGTGCTTCACTGGCCCATGTTTCAGTACCTGACAATGACATCAGTGTTAAAATTGGAGGAAAAGAGCTTTTTTTGAATCTACAGCAGCTGTAAAATGAGAACTCGCAGGATGAAGAATGACTTAGAAGACACCATTAGCATAAAAGCAATTTGGTTACATCATTTTCATTATCACTAGGAGTCCAAGAAGATCAAGGCCAAGTTGAACACTTTTTTCATAGATGACCAAAAAGGTTTATCTGGAGCAGAAGATACCATCAAGGGAAAAATACCTCACCACCACCGAAATGGCACATCTCCAAAAGAAATGCCTGCAGTGCTACAAGGATGCTCATTTATTTTCAAAGTAGTTAAGACTCATTTGGTGACCATGTTCAATTTTCATTACTCAAATCCTATTATCTCAAATGGTCAATGATGTATTTAACTACACGATCAGACAGATGTGAATGCAGCAGAATGGAGGGCAGTCACCCATTAACTTCATCCTGAATGACTTCAGGAATGACCTGAGGAAGTAGGCCTGCAGTACACCTCCTTCAGAGAGCCATTTTATTTCTTGAATGTGTACAGTAAGTGATTTTCATTAACCAATCCAAGATTCTGATGGAAGCCGACTTCTGGCAGGCTGACATTTTTCCCCCTTTAAAAAGAAAACAAGCCACAACTGGTAGAATTCATCAAAGGCTAAGAGACTGCTACTACCTAAAAACTGACCCACAGACAGACTACAGACAGAAAAAGGTAAGATGACCTACAGTAACTTTGAGTCACACTCAGGAAACACAAGGATTTTGGTTTTGTTGCTAAACACAACCACCACCACAGCAAGGCCTCCTGTTACTGGTACAGCTCACCCTGAACTCAGGCTGTGAGGAGCTGCCTTTGGTCACCGAGTGCACACACAGATGATGACATGATCTAAAAAACTCTTTTCCTTTTGGAAAAGCTAGTGTCAAACTACATGTGCTCTATTAACACCACCAGCAAGCTACACCTGTACAGCACACAGAACAGATGTGCCTGAGCCAGCAGTGCACCTGACACTGGCCAAAAAGCACGTTGGGTTTTTTTTTCAGCTCATAGGCCAAGATGTCCACACCAGCTAGACCATGATCACAGCCCTGAGTTAGCATACACATTGCAGGGGAGGTCTGCAGAACAGATGTGGCCAAGAGCAACAGCCACAGCAAGTTCCTCCCTCTGCACAGTAACCAGGGTTTGGATTACAATACACAAAAGCCCACCTGAGAATGCCTGACAGTCACTGCTCCCCCCACTGCCCTGAGCTGTGCAGAGGGGACAAGTGTTTGTATCAGAATGATGAGTTAGGGTGAAAGCAAAACCAGCTCCAGCCATAAACCAGGTGGCCCTCTTCAAATCACAGCAGATGAAAGGAATAGAAAAGCTCCTGAGATGTCACTTCTCATGACATCTACAACTGCAGCCTTGAGCACTGCCTTTGTCAGCCAAGCCAAAGCACCCTGAGCCTGATCCTGACCCTCAGC